CTTTTGATGATTATTATTGATATTGAATTTTGATATTATCGTGATTTCTTCTCCTTTTGAATTATTCTTCTCTTCTGATTCCTCTTCCCTCTATTCTTCTTCCCTTTCTCTCTCAATCTCTTTCTAATTCTACTTGAATTCTAATTTCGAATTGCCCCTACCCGCTGCTGCATCAATTGGTATCAGAGCAAAGATCCATAGATTTCTCTACTGTTAATAGCAACCACACCACACTCTACTGTTTACAGCAATCAAACCTGTACTGTTCAACCTTAAAACCCAAGCAAACCCTAGCCACCACTGCCGCTGCCATCATCCATCACAACCATCATAGTATTTACGCACTGTTCATTATAATCTTAACCAAATTAGTAATCAAACACAAGCCGTCTACAAACCCTAGCACCAATCCCAATATCAACCCTAAACCCAACCAAGCCAAAAAAAAATAAAAACAGATTCACGTTTTTAGCCCTCGCCATCGAAAATCCTTGTGTGATTGTCATCATCAACAATAGCCGTGGCTGGAAATTAGTCGCAGTAGTTTTCTCTCGCCGTCATTGCTACCATCCTCATGTCATCCAAGCCTTGCATAGCTCGTAAGTCTAACTTCAGCAAAGAACTTTGTGCACTCTATTGCAACTCTCATTGAGATTTCAGCATTATTCTGGAAAGTCAACTTTAGAATATTTATTCACCAAAATTTCAGCGTGACTGATTTTGAAAAGTCAACTTTGGATTATTGCAATTTGCGCGACTATTTTGAAAGATCAACTTTGGGTTGTTGCAAATCTTTGCAATCTTTATTGTCACCAAAATTTTAGCGCTACTGATTTTAAAAGTCAACTTTGGATTATATTGTCTGGTCTGGAAAGTTTAAATTTGGGTTTGGAAAGGATATATTTTGTTTCCTTATAAACTAGATTTGACCAAACTCAAATTTAAAATATTTAGATCCAGCCCATTTCAAGAAGTAGCAGATTGAGTATTCAGGCCCAAGCTTAGCCCAGTTCAGAAGATCAAACCAAATTTCGGAGCCATAACAGAATAGTTTAGTCTGCTCAGTAGTAGATTGACCAAAAAAAAATAATAATAATAAAAAAAATAAATAAAAAAGAGCATAGAATTCCTACTTCAGTTCGAGCAGCTATTTTAGGGTAATCTTCAACACTCGGAGCATTCAATTGGGATCTACACAGTACTTCGGAAAAGGTACACGTTCTTCACTTGAAAAATTATTTTAGTACTCTTATCTTTTTGATTGGTTTAGAAATTGCAAACGGTCCTAATTGAACCCATTTGATTATTGAACCAAATTATTTATTTCTTTTACTATTATTTTCCTTTGAGTGCTTTTCTTGCCAAAGGTTTTCCACCTTATTTTTGCACCTAAACACTTACAATGAGTGCATGAATTTTGGCATAATCGATTTTATTGCATTCTGATTTTCTTAGTTGTGCATTGTTCTAGTTTATAATGTAGTTTACTTAATTCAATTTGAGTTCTATGTTAGCATTATCCTCTACCATTCTTATGTCATACCTTTCCACCATAGCCATCAACAACCTTCTTTAAACTTTGTCTAGACCTAGCTGATGCATCTTCTTAATGATGTCAAAGGATAACATCGTTTTGTGTCCCAATGGCTTTGTTCTAAGCCAAGCAAGGTTAAGATTGTTGAGTCCAAATCAAGCTTCCCATCACACGGAAATATAATTAACTAGTGTGAAAATGAAAGGGAAACAAAAACAACATTGAAAATAAATTTGGAACAATAACTTCTGAAAATTGGAAATAGGCTTTTTCAACCTCCATCCTCAATCAGTCAGCTCCTTTGGTTGCTTACTAAAACTAATCACTTGCTTTGCAAAGTAGACCAGGGCCACCATGCGCTTCAATGCAAGCTACACTCTCTCCAATAATGAAGGCTTTATTTGCTAAAGAATTTTTACAGCATTCAGATTGTGATGTTAGAGTTGCAGTAGCCTCATGCCTTAGTGAGTTAACAAGGATTGCAACACCAGATTTTCCTGATGATCAAATGGTAGAAGTATTTCAGATTATTGTATCATCTATTGAAAATTTATCTAATACATCTAGTCCATCTTATGGTAAAAGGATCAAAATTATCCACACATTTGCAAATGTCAAGTCATGTTTGGTTATGCTTAATTGATTTGGATTATAATGAATTAATTATTGAGATGTTTGAACACTTTTTAAGGGAAATGGGTTATTATCACTCCGATAGTGTCTTTTCATCCATGGAGAAAATTATGACTCTTGTCCTGGAAGAAAGCGACCATATATCAATTGAGCTACTTCGTCCTCTTCTAACTAGTGTTAAGAGGGGAAATCAAACTATTTCACCTTAATCTTACAAGTTAGGAGAAAAAGTTTTGAACAATTGTGCCACAATTCTTAAGTCTTTTCTTTCAAAAGCACTACAATCCATGGTCCTTTTGTCCATTGATTTAGCTGAAGTAGTCACTTCTATTGGTCAAGATGTGTCTGAAAAAGAGTCTATTGTGTCAAACAAGGATGTTAAGTACAATAGTAATTTCTGGAAGACACTTTGGACATTCTTAGAAACAAATTTGAAGTTTCCTTTTGCATCTTGTCCTTTGAATAATAGAAAAATTGAAGTTGTGAAACAAGGTCTAGGAAAGTTGGTTAGTTTTCTTACTAATGTGCACCTAGACACTTGGAATTTGTTATTGCCCATAATGGAATATGCCTATACAAGTTTAACAAATCAATTCCAGCCAGTCCATTGATCATGTTCCTTCACCTCCATGCATGTATTCACTTGAGTTTGTTGATTCCTTCGTTCAGCTTGTTCATGATTTTTATGTCAGTATGCGATAAGAAATTTTCTTAAGTAAAAAGAATTATCAACTCATTGCACATGCTCATCATAGGAATCATGAATTTAATGAAGGAGATTATGCTATAATTTGTGCACTAACTCAACCTTGTCATAAAAACTCCTTCCAAATGAAACATGCCAAAATTGATAGACTTTGCTACATCATTCAAAAATTAGGACCTAATGCGTATTTCTTTGACTGGTCTTTGGATATGAGTACTAGTTCAATTTTTGATGTGGAGTATCTATTACCTAATCGAGGCACCTTTGAGCCTCCTATTTTATTGGCATGTGTTCCTACTAGTGGATTTACATTTTCCTCAGCACCGACATTAGTTCATCTATCTTTTCAGTCACATTATATGGCTTGGACAAAGGATATTGTTGATTATCAAAGTGATGGCCCTCATCTTGGAGATATTGACTATTACCTTGTTCCATGGAAGGATTTTCCAGTTTTAAATACCAGGCAGAGTATTGACCCATACTTTTTGGAGATATGCATTTACTCTCCGGAGGAGAGTTCTTCTCAACCGGGAGGGAATGATGAAGAACCGGGCCTGGCCCGAGAGCTTGAAGTCCATACGGCCCATACCTATTATTGGAGACATGGGAAAGAAAGATAGAATTAGGGATTTTTGTTTATTTATTATTATTATGGGATATTTCAGCAGTTTAGGGTTTTATGGTAATAGGTTGATTAGGGTTTTCTTTGATGTCTATTTATATGTTGGTTCAGACATTGGGAAAGTTAGTTTTTTATGATTATTATTGATATTGAATTTGAGATTATCTGTCATTTCTTGTCCTTCTGCATTCTTCTTCTCTTCTAAATTCTTCTCTTCTCTTCTGATTTCTTTCCCTCTATTCTTATTCCCTTTCTCTCTCAATCTCTTTCTTATTCTACTTGAATTCTGATTTCGAATCACCCCTACCCACTGCTGCATCAGTTATATGCATGCTTTCATCTCTATTTACAGTTTTTGGCATACACAATACATTATCAAAAAATCGTGGCCTTCTGCAACAGAATCAGAGTCTTGGCCTCCTGCACAGCTTGGAGACACTTTATCCTCTATATCTTAAGTATGGCATACTGTGCCTCATCTCATCCCACATTCCAACATCAGCAACCAACAACCATGAGAATCTTATGTTTAGTTTAAATGTAGTTTACCAGAACAAACTTATAATTTCCTGAGGCGTTGTTTGACATTTTAGCCACCCTAACTTGATGAATTTTAAATTAGATGGTGTCGACGCAAAGGTAAAGTTGAAGTTGTTGGTTATTGGTGCAATTGCTAATGTTGCAGAGGAGGAGAAATTTGAGGAGATGAACACGCCATTGATGCAACAGATAGATCGCTACAAAAATTTTTGGAAGATCACTTGAGCCTAGGGGTGCAAAGATTGAGTGGGTTTAAGAGACCCGCAATATGAGAAATGCTGCCCAAACATGGGTTGAACTCAATCTCAGGTTAGGAAAAGTTCGCTCGAACCCTATCATGGTTGTTTGGTCAAACAGGCCAGGTTGGTATCTAAATCAGTAAAATTAGATCGTTTTTTTCACTAAAATTCAGTTTCTCCCACAATAGTTCTAACTATAGTCACACACTCAACATGCATGTCTTCCGCTAGACACTGAACTTTCAGATGATTTGCAAACTCCGGATGCATGCATTTGCCTACAAACCATCCGGATGCATGCATTTGCCTACAAACCATCATTTATAGACGGTCTTACTTTGTTGAGTCTCGGACATTCAAAGACCCAAAGACCTTACCAGTTAAGCTACTTCATACGGACCATCATAACTTTTTTGACTTTTTCTTAGAACCCTCCATGTTAGATTCTGTGTACTTTATCATAAGCTATCTCTAAATTTATAAAAACCATATGAAATCTTTCTCCTCCTCTCCATATATTTCCAATGGTCTCCGCGACAAGTAAATGGCCTCCATTGCTAAACTCCCCAGCATGAATTTAAATTGATTTTCTAACACTTCAGTCTCCCGTCTTAGTTGTTTTAGTTGTTCAATCACTCTCTCTCTCCAAAAAATTTCATCGTATGAAACAATTTGTTGCTCTAAAGTACTACTGTCAATTTTAATCATACAACTGCTCAAGTATAGAAGAAACATCAAAGTTGCTAGATTAATTGCAAACTGATTCAATAATCAAATCAAACTACTTAAATCTGTAAAAACAAGTTCCTTATCCAAAAAAATAATAATAATAAAATCCTTGTTCACATTAATAGATTGGTGCCAAGGGACCGTGTCAATTTGTACGCAGGATCAGTTCAAGGCTTCATGCGTAGATAGAATATGGACAATAAACCACAAACAGAGTAGGATCAGTAAAGGTATACTTGCTCAACTCCTCAACCTTCAGATATAGCTTTGATTAATAGATTTTGACTGCAGTATCTTAAGATGAACAATTCGAATCAAGCGGCTTGTCCTTGTATTCTTCCACCAATGAAAGAGTTCGAGTCTCTCCTGGCATTTTGAATTTTGCACACCTACATCAAGAATCATAATATGAAGAGCATGTTACTCGAATAGATAGCAACTAAAATATTCTAACTAAATATGCCATCAAAATCTACATGAAGACTGCCCTATACCCATTTCTTAAGCAAATAGCAACAAAATAACTGCAACTGTAATTACTATTTTTTTATTCTTCAGTTTCATCAGTATGTCATCATAATATAATAATATAGACACCACAAGTATAAAGTTAGATTTTTATATCCAGCATGGAATGAAAACTAAATAAATACAACATGATTATGTCAAAAATCATGGATTTGAGACTAAAGAAGGAATCTTGGCATTCTCTTGAAGCAACATTTCACAAAGATAAATCTGTTCAGAAGAATTATTTTACATTTTACAAAATTAAATTCTCCATAACTTCTTGAGAACTGGCATGGATATGATATGTTGCTTTCTTCTATTTATTTTCTGTTAGACAACTTGCACAAATAAATTAAAGGCATAAGGTTTCTATTAGATAGGATTCCCTATAAATTTTCCATATTAGTAAGTCAAATCATTTAATAATAAGAATTTTCAACGAAGACAATTGCATTGATAAATCTTCCATGTGGTTCTTAGAATGGTGCAATACAAATAATACATGTATTTACCAGGGAAAAATAACAGCACATCATGTTTCCAAATAACAGTTCATGTACATAATACTATTACACCTATCTCTTACTTTTTAATAAATCAAACATTATTAATGTCAAAAGGTATCAAATCCAATGGAACAATAAGATATCCTTTAAGAAAAAAGGAAAAGAAGTGAAGTAAAACAGAAAAAGCAGAAATAAAAAAATCAACTAGAAGAGTTTTACCCAAAAGAATCCTTCAACCCACCTCACCCACATTCAAAGCTTAAGGAGGCTAAAAGTGGCCTTAACTACGGACAACAAAGAACCCTAAGCATCCATTTGATCATCATAAAACTTCTAAATCCATCTAATCACCATCCCTAAAGCTGTGAGAAGATCAACAATCTCTCTCATCGCCACAAACCTATGGACCACCCTATCACCTATCATACTTCTCAAAAATTTCTTCTAGCAAATATTTTGCCTCTTTGTTAATTTTAGTCCTTTATATTAAAATCAAGAACTAGTTATACATTACTTCAATTATATGACTGCATTTTTCTCAAAAGTGAAGCAAGTTTTTCTAAAAAAAAAAGGGTTGAAAGTGTTATAAGATTATATAGTTTTATCTCTAATTTAATATGGACCAACTCAATGAAATGTCATCAATAAAACAATAAACATAGTGGAGATGACTATTTTATTGACTAGCTGATGCAGCCTGCAGCATACACTTTGATACAAAATTGTTGCAGATGATAAAGAAGAGAAGGAGAAGGAAAACGAGAAGAGGATAATAAAGAATACAGATAACATCACTTAATTAGGGGCACAAACATAAGCAGTTTTGTTCCTCCAAAACTGTTTTAATGAGTTACATACTCTACGGATATAGATCTCTCCACATAAAGACAAAATGAGTTATTGAGCGTTATATAAGCATGACAAAAAGAAAAATTAGCATCATCAATTTGTGCGAGTGACCATAAGTTGTAAATCCAATGATCCAAAATAAGGAGTGCTCATCCATATCAATGAACAGACTAATGCTCAAATTGAAAATGTACCTAGTTACAAATTAAATTAAAACATACAGAAAAATCAAACAAGAATGAATAAAATATAACATTAAAAACTGAATCAAAACCGTCTCTTAACTTCTTGTCATCTTCAAACTAGTTCAATAATGATAAAGTTCATCAGCAAAGTAGAAACTTCCCGCCTGTAAAGGGTATGAATTCAAACCAATATCGGATATTTTGTGTATGCAGCTAGTCATTACCAGCAACCAGATGTTGCAGCTACTATCCATGTCCAAACAGTGACGGACCTAGAAAATTATGTGAGAGGGGGAAAACTTATATAGTGGGGTTTGTCTATAATTTCAATGGATGCAATTTTAAAATTTTATAGGTATATAATACAAAAAGATAAAAATTCAGGGGTATATAATTCAAAACACAAAGAATTTCAGTGCGGGCAGATGCCCACAGTAGATCCGTCCGTGTGTCCAAACGAAAACAACCTATACCCTCTACATTTTACAAAGTAACACAAAATTCATTTAGTTCTTATCCATTTCTAGGTGATTTTTTAGTTCTCATTTATTCTTTAAGACAGTTAAATTTGCCTCTCGATAGGGTGCAAATCAGGAACAATGTCAGGAATTTTATCTTTGAGGCCCCAAGTATAGTCATATATGCATAAGCAGTATTGGATCAAATGTAATGACGAGTTGAAAGTAATAGTGTTCAATTCATCAGAGTAGCAAGCCTTGTTAATGCCCACTGGTAAGCAATTATAGACTAACAATTTTCAGTGTTGGACCATATGGTGCCTTACCAATTGTTTCAAGACTCTCATGCATCCCATATAAACAAGTCTTCATATAACATGACTACTAAAAAGATAAATTTTTGACAGAAACTCCCTTCACTCCCCCCACCCACCCACAAACCACCCCCAAACTCACCTAATATATGTGTATGTATGTATAATACATATAGAGGGATCTCCCAGGAAAAGATATATATTGAAGGGGTGAAGAAGAAAAGTCACTGTAAAGATGAAAGATTCACACATGGTTTCAGATTTTTCAAATTCAAAGTAGCGATAAAGAACAAGGAAAAGTGAAAATAAGATACCATCATCAAAATCTATAAATATAATTTGAAGTATTAAAGGACTGTAGATTGCAATTTAAGCAAACCCATACCTTGAATTGATATTCAGCACCTTAGCATCATCTCCAACAATGGCGTCTTTAAGTGAAATAAAGCTTGGAATATAAGCAATTGCTTCAAATTTTGAATTAACCCCCTTAATCTTAAAATATCTGAATTTTGGTCCTTTAGGGTCATAATAAATCAGACCACTTCTAGAATAATCAAAGATCAATACAGCCCCATCTTTTTGGTAACTTGGGGGCTGATCTAGACATCTAGGCGACCTCCCATCAGGTAGGGTATCAAGAGTAACAGTTTTGTCCAAGACTCTGGAGCACCATATTTCTTCATAACCCATATGTTAATAGAATCAGAATTGGAGATATCACTTATGCATAGACAGTCTTCTAATACTCCCATAGACAGATTATGAGGTGCATAGTAGTAAGTGTAAACATTTTCACGATGAGGCAGGGGAACTCATTGGAAGCACTCGTCATCAAAGTTAAAAGAAACTATATGATCATGACTTCCGCCATCTAACCAATGAAGACCTCCCTTCAGATAGGTGGGAAATGTTATCTCAAAAATCGAATTGGGACCATCACCAATGTTTTTCCATGATCCTGTGCCTAGTGTGTGTATTTCAGCCTTCCAACCGCCATATACTTCCACGCCTATAACAGGCTCAAGAATCCAGCAATTCAATATTCTAACCACTTTGTACTGATTAGCACTTGGACTAAAACCCAACCCACAACCATAAATATTTCTGGCATTCTCATCTCCCCCATAAACCATTGGAATGTTTATATACTCACCTGTGATTGGATTACACACAACAACAGGTTTATTGCATATTGGTTCCGACAAGCAAAGCAAACCATCGCACGAATTGACAATTTTGAATACATGATCACTAGGGTTAACTTGGGGCCGTCATTCCTTCTTTTAACCTGACTGCGTTGCATTTGGGCATTATGAGTTGTAACTCCACGCAACCTGTCAACATTGCGCAATGGAATCTTCAATTTGGTTTCAAGCTTCATGTTAACACTACGGTCAAACTGACCAAAATTATTGCAATTCTTAGGCTCAACCAAGTAAAGCATTCTCGACACAAACATTGAATCAAATTCGGTTCGAAGCAGAGCACTGGGCTCTGCCAGAGCAAAGTGAAGCTTGGCGAAATGAGGGTCAGAAATTAGAGTGACCCAAGTTTTGCATACGCATTTGCACATGAGAATACTCTTTACAGGGAGTCTTATCAGAATACTGACCAAAATGGGACTGGGAAGATCTGTGATGGAACAACCCAGTATCTGAAATTGTTCATCGTGGGACTTCTCAGCTTCTATTTTGCCTTTCTGGGTTGAACCTAGTTTTCCTTTCATGGCTTAGATCTATAAATCCAAGGAAATGGATTCGGAGATCAGTAAAATGAGGAAAGAAGAAGAAACTGAAGACGATGAAATAGATATAGCACAAAAACGTAACTATAAACAAATTAGATACCACAACAACAAAACCCTAGTTACCAACAACAAATTACATACTTTGCAATATTACTAGAGAGAGATACCTGATGGAACAAAATCTTGGCACAATTCTAGAGAGAGAGAAATGAGTAACAAGTTGAACGGCGGGAAAAGAAAAGGGCGGGAAGATGAGAATTGCGCACAACGTTGATTTTGGGAGATGAGTGGTACTATTCAATTTCAAGCGAATCGGCTTAAGGCAGACCAAAGAGTCTCACGGAGGAGAAATTAGTATTTTAGTTTTAAACAATTTGTGTAAAAACTGAGTGGAAAATTTAGAAGAGGGTCAAATCTCTCTCTCCTCTTCTGAGGATACGAACCATTAGACTGGTCGTCCACAGAATTCCTAGATGGATTAAGAAATTATTAGATCAACCTTTATCACTTCAATTCAATTAAAATTAGGTTTAAGTACGAAAAATAAATAAATAAATAAATAAAATAAACTTGATATATAAGGTACGTGCAGAAGTATTTTTTACCTTTTAAAAATGTACATGTTAGTTTATAAAATTCAAAAAAAAAAAAAAAAAAATACAAATAAGCCCCTCTAACTACTTTTTGACAAAAACCAAATATGAAAAATCATATTTTACCTTTTATTTCCATTTTGTCCCTCACTCATATGTGCATATAACACATACCCATTTCCTCTCTCTCTAGGGTTAGAAAATGGTGAAATGTGTTTTATGATATATATATATATAAATACCTGTAATTATTTTAAATTTTTTTTTTTATCAATTCAATAGACACATAAAATATAATTATAATTATAATTATAATTATGTTAGGGTAAACACAATAGAATACCCTAAAGTGTGTGATTAAGTATGGGGACGGTGGAGGCGATTTTGATGGTGGTGGCAGGTTGTAGGCTATATTGTTGATGGGTTTAGAGATGAGAGAGATGGTTGTGGCCTGCGGGCAGTGGTAGGAGGTGACGGCTATGGTGGGGAGGAGGTGGGAGGAGGCGGTGACCATTGTTGGCTTTTTTCTTTTTTCCTTCAAATTAGTCTATTCTAACCCGTCATGTTTTATGTTGTTGGCTTCGACAGTCTGTCATTGGTAAGATTACACCCTCTCGTGTAAAACAATAAATAAATAAGAGTTAAGTGCATTAAACCCCCTTAAACTTTATTCTCTTTCTCAAAAAACCTCCCTTAAATTATTAAAAAAAAAACACTTAACCCCCTAAACTATTTCATTTGTTGCAATCTGTTAATTCATCGTCCAAAAGTTAACGTCCAAGGAAGGGTTGACTTTGTAATGACCCGGTCATTTTTCTTCCTTTCCTTTTTCTGAAATTTTACTGATAATTTTTTTTATTATTATTGAATTTTCTTTTCTGAGTGCAGTTACTCATCACTTAGTGTCGTCTCGAGTCTTTGGAAATGGTTACCGAGACTCTTTCCTATGAATTGACAACTTCCTTTAAGGACCAAGTCATTTCCATTTTTATTTTTATTTTTTGGACACTATTCACTTTTCGTCTTTTTCCCGATAATGATTTTTTTTTGCGTAACCTCACTTTTTGTGCTCAGATTAGGTTCCGATTTTGCATACATCCATGATATGTTATTTACATGATATTTGTATTTTTACTTTTTGTAGAAAAGCGTGCCAGTGGCTTACTTTTCCGTAAAGGGTATGGATGCATAGTTTCTTCGGAAACATTATTTATTTTTGGGGTTTTTTCCGTAATTATAGAAAGTAATTATTTTATTTCCTAGTGACCTTTTTGTAATTTATTTTGGAAGATATTTTAAAAATGGACCTTTTCGTAATTACCGAAAAGTGTGATAAGTGTCGCGCTCTCATTGATCCACTTGTAAGCATTTCATTAGTTAACACTTGGAAGCCTTGGATGATGACATGTGGAGGGTGGAGATTCACCCACTTGTTAGCCTAGCATTGCTGCACTTATTGGCTTGGATTGTTAACAAGTGTATGCTTTAGATTAAGCCTAGAATGAACCATTGGATTAATGACAAGTGTAGGCTTCTAATTAAAGTCTAACTTTTGTGTGTGTTAGGGGTTGGTGCAAGATTGGGTGAGTTTGACTTTCCATTGACCAAGTGAGTGAGGGAATACACTAAAGTGTTTTATTTATTTCATTTTACACATTAAACTTCTTCTTCCTCACTTAGAACCCTAGCCACCATTGAAGGAAACCATTAACCTAGACTTAAAATCTTGGTTTTGATCTCCTTCCACTCACTTTAGACCTAAAAGTTTTGAATATAAAACACTTGCCTCACCTTCCTCTATATAACCCTTGAAGGAAATTGTAAAATTCCTTTGTTTGCTTTAGATTCAAGAGGAACAATCCTCTTGTGAGATAGGGGGTGATTTAGGTTTTTAATCTAAGTGTTTTAATTGTTTTTATAACTTATAATAAATTGTTTACATGTCTTATACTTAACTTTTAAATTAATAAGTTGTAGTACCTTGCATGAAATTAAGCTAGAAAATGATATTCTTGAATGTCATGACTTGATCTATAACTTGTATTAGTATAAAGTCATTTGGAGTTGTTTTAGAATCTAGAGATTTAGTTATTTAGAATTAATTAATTTCTATTTAATTGTTTCACTTACTTAATTAAGTTTTTGAGTTGATATATGTGATTACCATGATAGTACAATTGTCATATAATTATTTGGAGTCATTTGAAATTGATTTAAATTCTAGAGAAATTAATTAGTTAGTTTAATTAATTTATATTCAAGTGTTACATTCATTTAAATTGACATTTGACTTGATATATGTAATGAGTATGGTATGCTCTTTAACATAAATTAAATTGAGAATATTTGAATGAGTTTATAAAAATTTATTTAATTATTTTCTTGTATGAAATTTAATTCGCTTAGTTGTACCTAGTGTAGAATTAACTTGTAACTTGATTTTAAATAATGTCTTGACATGTTCTTTAACATATATTAAATTGAGAATATCTGAATGAGTTTTGAGAAATTTATTTAATTATATTCTTGGCATTGATCTTATTTTACCTTGTTGTAACTAAGGTAGAATTGCTTTGTAACTTGAAATTAAATTAGGCCTTGCTATGACCTTTGACATATATTATATTTAGAATTTTTGGAGTTGCTTTGAAATCTTGAGAATTTAATTAAGTTCCATTTATATGTTTTCATTGCGGTAATTAAGTATTGATGTTATATTCTTGTTTAATTTTTAATTTGCAACTTGGTGTATGATTTCAAGATGGTATTCCATGAGTAGAAGTTATGATTTAACTTGTATACACATTATACTTATATGACATTTAATATGCCATTGTAGCTTGAAGGCCTAGAGCATATTTTGTGTGTATTCCATGACTTAGTTGTGCATGGTAATTGACAATGTGCATTGTGTATATATGATATACTTGTTGCACAACTTGATGATTTTTGGAAAGCTTGTATGGACATTGTAATGTCTTAAGGCTAGAGTATGTCTCTAGTACGGGGGATGAGAGTTCCTTCTACAACATATAGTGCGCTCTAGGTAGTTCCTTGTGGGCTAGTAACTCGAGGTCACTTGTTTGGTCATTGAGACCATATGTCCTTTGTCTTTCCACCATTGGTTGATTTCGCATTCAATTCCTAGTTGTAATTGTGGATTACTTTTAACTTGTGCGTGGACGCATGATACTTTATTTCTTGCTTAGTATATTTGTATTTGTATGCTTGTGCGCCTTGTATATCAAAAATGCTTTGTATACTTGGATTTGTATACTTGTATGCCATGTATGTCAACATTGCTTAGCATACTTAGAAATGTATACTTGAATATATATGTTGTATTATATTTCAATATTGCTTAGCGCACTTGGTATGTACACTTGCATATTGATGATTTACTTTCTAGATAACATAGTATATTTGTATGTTGTATACTTGTCTTAAGTCCATTTCAATATTGATTGTATACTTGTGTACGTATACTTGTATATTGAATATCTTATTGCGTGTACCGCGTGCTCCTATGTTGTTTAAATTGCATGAATGATGTGATTTATATTATAAATACTCTAAGGTAGCTTAGGATGCTCCCTGAGCCTTATTTTGACGGCATGAGCCCTTTTGACTTATTTCATCTTAAGGTGATAATTTTGTAAAATGTTAGGTCAATACATACTCATTCCCTACGAGTAACTTGTTCACTCACCCCGAAGTTACCGGGTTATTTTTCAGGTACCGATACCTTGGCTCGAGATGCACATCATTCCTTGGACGACTTGTAACTTTTAAGTTTCCATTTCATGCAAATGTTAGCTTGAAATGTCATTTTTTAGCCTTATATATCAAAACTTGTATCTTTGATTTCATATATGTAATGTGTACATAATGTGATACCCCTCGGATCCGAAACACGGGTTGATCAGTGCCAGACCCAAACCTGAGGGATATCAGACAATTAAAGTATTTTAAATCGAACACGGAATACAAAATGAATTAAGAAATGACATTAAAGCTGGAAAGAACTAAAAATAGAATCCGCAAAAAATTATAATTATTAAAATCCATCAAACCCAAACTCCAATCTTTTAACAACTCGGGAATCCATCTCTAGTGGACCCTTAATAAAAATCTCACACTGAATGAAAGTAAAATGGAAGATAAAATCCAAATCCAAGATCTGGAAAGAAATCCTACATCGTCGGTAGAATGGAAGATCGTCTCTGCTCAGCACGAACAAGCTCAAGCCTGGAACTGACGTACACCTGAAAAATATAGGAGTGGGTCAGACCCACGAACAAGTTCTATCCTATTACAATCCAAGCAGAGACTCGATACATATGTACATACTAAATAGTTCAACAATAACTAATAATCCGTACATAAATATATCCACACTACTAGACTCTCGCTAGGCTATGAAAGGGGTATCAACCTAGATAGAAGGCATCACACAATACGCACCTGAGTGGGCATGAGAACCTAAACCTAAACAGGGTATACCTCAACCTTCACAGTCAGCTACACATCCAACTGCATATACGCACCCTAACCGTCGACACTAAGACTCAAGCTCATGACACGGTAACATAAAAATATATCTAAACTCCGTTTCTAACCATCCACAAGAAATCCAGTAAGTCACTCAGCGTATTCAACCGTACTGACTTATATACATATAAGGAGGATTTATTTAATAACCCGTACCCTTATTCCAAATAGGTAGAACTTAGCATCTTGTGCTGTCCAAACCTAGTATGTCAACGTCCCATACTGGTACATACAATCCCATCCGTCCAATAGTTGATAAAGCATATACAAGTACATAACAATATCAACGAGTCCATATCAAGCATATCAGAATGTATTAACAACCGTTCTTGAATAGTCCCAACAAAGTGATTAACATTGGAAACATAAATATCAATATTAATTACTCTATTCCACACATTTAAATAATTTATAAATGCCAAAACCAACAATTCCAACCTAACCATGTTAGAATAGATTAACCATCATACTTTAATAAATCCAACCATTGATTAAGTACTAACAGTATCAGTGTCAAAACCCACAGTTCCAAACTAAGCACATTAAAGTATACTAGAAAAGCATGCTTAATTAATCCAACAATAAGCCATTACCTGATCACCCACAGTATTGTGTCTGTAAATATAAGTTTATTCCCGGTATCCATAATTAACAGAGCTTAAACAAATGTTATAATATTTATTTCCATGGCATGCATAATAAATCTAGACAATTTATCATAC